TAATACACAACGCATGGGGAAACACACACGTTTGATTATTCATTTCATAACATCAGCAGGGATGTGTCTAACCCCAGCAGATGTTTTTTTATGCAAATATGTCGCAGCCAGACCAGATGTGGAGACCTGCTAATATCTCAGCTTCCTCATACGTTCCATAATTCTCAGAGGAAGCGAAATGTGGCCAAACATCCACCTCCACACTTCAAACACGCTGGCACACTCCCTCACAAGAGATGAGTCTCTAATAGGATCAGTTACACTTCAAGTGGGTATTTTGAAGAATGAGCTTCAAGTTATTTTTCTTTGCTTGGCATCTTGTTGTTGTCTGTCATCTGTAACTCTGTTCCTCTGATGTCACTCAGGACTCATATCAGAAACATTTGACTTGACTCATTGTTGGAGAGACAATTCGAAGAAGTCTTTGTCTCTTTTTGGCTATTTTTAAACTGTCGTGTTACAAATGTACATCTCAAAGTTAGTTGAATATTCATTGTTGCACGAGGTATAGAAGAGGTACATCAGAGGATCGTTAATAAATAGTAACCAAACAAAAACTGCTCTGTGATTAGCAACAGGCTTTTTCCATTCCTGGCTAGTTTGTGAAATCATTGAACTGAAAAATGTCATGTCTCATAAAATAGACAGTATTCATTAGAAGCACGTTCTAAACAAACGCCCCTCTTTGAAAATGAACTCGACTAAATCATTGAAATTCCCTTATTTCTATTCCAGACAATTCTCAAACTCACCGCCCCCCCGGTGGCTCCTCCCAGGCTGTTATCTCGGCCACTCATGCTCTGCAGCACGGCTTTGTCCAGGCCCAGCTTGAGGCTGGCGCGATCAAACATCTCCCGCTCGTACGAGTTCCTGGTGATCAGACGGTACACCTTCACCGCCTTGTTCTGACCAATCCGGTGGCAGCGAGCCTGGGCCTGTGAGGGACAGAAACATATGAGGGTAATGCCCTACAGGTACAATTAGGAGCTTTTGTGTTGATACCTTTGGTTTGAGCTAATCCTAAATGATGATAACTTTAATTGTTGAGGGATGATTGAATCTGTTCTTCGTTGGACATATTGGAAAGTACTTTTCGTGGTGATGACACGTTGAGTTTACAGAAGAGTAAAATACACGACATGTTCAATTAGGAGCTGTTGTGTTAATAGCTCTACTTTGACCTTAATGACCCAAGATGGAAACTTAAATTATTACGTGAAATTTGCACTTGTTCTTGATTGGACATAGCGTAAGGCGCATGTCGTGGTGATGAGTCTCGTTGGCAGCCGTTTGCACAAGCAGATGTTAGACAACAGATAACTATGAGGGTGCCAAGATGTTGTCTACTTGTAGCACACTGATGGTAATCTACAGCGGCCTGTTGCATCTACTGCTAAGTGAGTGAGTGAGTGAGTGAGTGAGTGAGTGAGTGAGTGAGTGAGTGAGTGAGTGAGTGAGTGAGTGAGTGAGTGAGTGTGTGTGTGTGTGTGTGTGTGTGTGTGTGTGTGTGTGGTACCTGCAGGTCGTTCTGCGGGTTCCAGTCTGAGTCAAAGATGATGCAGGTGTCTGCTGCTGTGAGGTTGATTCCCAGGCCACCAGCGCGTGTGCACAGAAGGAAAACAAAGCGCTCTGAGTCGGGCTTACTGAAGCGGTCGATAGCTGCCTGACGCATGTTTCCACGAACACGCCCATCTATACGCTCGTACAAGTACCTGCGACACAAAGAAACGATCTGTTAGGCATGTATATCAAAACCACTCACTGAATACTTATTCTTTAGTTAAGAGCTTTATGGAAAAGCTCAAACATCATACATTTGAGTTTTCCTGATGAGTGTTATTAAGTGACTCCAGCCCCTTGCTCGACAATAGTGAGAATGGACTTACATTTGACTCAAAGCATTATTTGACTTCCCTTCTACACCTCTGTAACTCTATCCTAGATTGACAGATGACTCTTATTTCTCTATTCTCTTTCATCTTGTGACCATTCTCCTGCACTCCCACGATACGACCCCCTGCACCCCCCCAGGGTAATCCAGTCTGGAGAAGCCTCACACAAACTCCTGCTTGTCTTGTCTAGAGAAGCCCTGAGGGTTCCTACAACCTGCAGCTGAACCCTGTCTGAGGTCTGTGCAGCGCAGCACCTCACAGCTGTTCAATAGTGTAGGGTTAGCTTCAGCTGCTGGTGGGAAGATAGATGAAAGACAGAGAGAGAGAGAGGCAGAAACAGAAACATGAGAGCAACAACAGGATGTAAGGAGACAAAGATCAGGAAACTTGAGAATTAAACCCAAACTCATATCAGTAATGATCAGATTCCTAATCGCCATTTAACTCCAGCGCTTATTGCAAGCTGTAAACCTTTCCCCATGGTTGTCTTGATAAATGTTCCTGACCACTCACCCCCCATTTCAGCTTTTTATGGGACCTTTGGGCCACACACACACACACACACACACACACACACACACACACACACACACACACACACACACACA